GATAGTGTAGGGCGAGATGGAGCATACATAATAAAATCTACATATGAAAAACACACACTCAACATCATCCTAAATGGAGAAAAGTTTGAAGCAATTCAACTACAGTCAAGAATGAGACAGAAATGTGCAGTATTCCACTCCTTTTCAATGTTGTTCTTGAAGTTCTAGCTGGAGCAATAAGGCAAGAGAAGGAAATGAAAGGGATACAAAACAGAGAACAAAGTCAAAGTATCCTTAATTGTAGATGAAATGGTACTATATGCTAGAGATCTGAATGATTCTACCAGAAATTTTCTAGAAACAATAAATTCAGCAATGTAACAGGATACAGAATGATTTTGCACATATTGGTGGCTTTTCTATACATCAACAACAAATACATAGAGAAGGAGATTGTGGACACACAAATACACTGAACTTTCATTGGACATACTTGTAATTGCAGTTTTGAAATCATTGGAGTGCAATGAATGTTCTAATTTGTAGAGGACACACACATATTGCCTTTGTTGTTCACATTCTTTTGTGGGGGTGAGAGATAGATTTCTGGAGTCAGGCTATTGTTAGTGTGTCTTGGTGTGGGTACCTGGCCTTGCCTTTGTAGAGTGAGTTTTTGGATCTTTATTTGCAATTACCATAGCTTGTCCTGTCGTGACCATCTGAATGGTGCTTGAAGTTCAATATTGAGGCTGCTCTGTGCTGATGTGCAAATGGAATGTCAGAAATGTCCCCATACCAGCTAGGTAAATGCGGAAAGAGTAAACTTTCTTTAGGGTTAGATTTTCACAGGTTTGTGGGAAATTCTTCAGTTTGGCAAGTGGTCCTTGGAAAGCAGGGGAGGTTTCACAGTGGGCGTGGGAAGTGCTCTGTGGGTCACGATGGAGGATATCACACCACCCTCGGGTGGAGATGAGCCAGGAAGAAACTAGACTGGGGGTTTTTATCCAAGGTCAAGTGCAGGATATTGTGTACTCCCACAATGGGATGAGACCTCTCCCATCAATCACTAATTAAGAATATGCCCCACAAGCCTGCCTATAGCCTGATATATTTATTTATTTATTTGTATATTATGTATTTATTTGTTCTTTTGAACTTCATTTTACATTCCAACCACCCCTCCTCCCATGCTTTCTTACCTCCCCGCAACCTACCCCCAGTCCACTGCTCCTCATGGGTAAGGGCTCCCAGAAGGAGTCAACAAAATGCCTACAGCCTAATGATCTTATGGACTTTTCTCAATTGACTCTGCTGACTCTAGCTTTCATCAAGGTGACATAAGACTAGCCAGGACGTTCTCTAAACCAATACAACTTCTATCTTCATTCTTAATACTTATCCTTTTATTCAAAAATAAGTATAACTTTCATCAAAGAAGCTTCTTTTTGTAACAGATGAGGCCATCACAAAAATCCACCACTGGTCAAAATGCAGAAAACCGTGGGGGTGCCTAACACCAATTGAAAAATCTTCAGCACAATTCTTACAATGAAGGTAGAGGGAACATCATAGAAAAGGGGGTATGAAAATGTTTGAACCAGAAAGTCTGCTGTGAGATAACATCCTCTTTATATGACAGGGAGACTGCACCCATGAAGTCCCAATAATAGGGTTGCCTAAACAAAACCCACATAATAATACCACCAGTTGGCATGGTACCATGAATGGGGGAAGTCTCACAAGGCCTCACCCTTAGATGAAGAACTACAGTAGTTAATCCAGGGAGAATTAGTTTTCTTCAGGGATGGTACGTCTGGTAGACTATCCAATCCCAAGAAATCTACCCTAAATACACTTGTAAAGGGAACCAGCAAGTTTATGTGTGTATAACTATATATATATATATATATATATATATAGTAAATGCTATGTTATGGATTTGAGAAGTTTATAAGTTGATGTGTTGTCCCCAAAGAAGGAACACTTCCAAATTAGAAATGCCACAAATGTCAAAGTGCTGGCTTTGCTAGCTGTAGCATTTGGCCTCATAGATTTTTAACCCGATTAGGTTGTATATAAAAATGAAAAAGAAGATTAAACTCAACTAATAAATGCCTGCAATTTAGGTTAAAAAAAGTAAAATAAAAATTTAAAACCTGGAAATTGTGATATCTTATTAGGGTGAATCACAGATTACGATGAGCCAACAAAATTATGTTTTATGCTAGAATTGAAAAAAACTGAATAGCTAGATATACTGAGGTAAATCAGTAAGTTTTGCCAAGTAAATCTGATGACTGACTTTGTTTCACAGATTTTACAATTGGAGGTGAGAACAATTACTTGAAGGTGTCCTGGGATTGCCACAGCTGTTGCAACGCATGCCTATACACACGGGGGAGGGGCATGCAAACCTGTGTGCACACACAAACATACACACATGTACCCCACAATTATAATAAATGAAATGAAAAATTAGTATATGAGTCATCTAAGGGAGAGAGTATACATTGTTATAAACATGTTAACTAAAAATTCAGAATTGGTTACTGAGTTTTCACAGTGAGCTCCTAGGAGATGGAAAACGAGAGAAATAAGAACTAAAACCAGGACATCACACAGAAACTCCCTTCTGCTCAGCTCAGGCTTGCTCTGACCACCTCTTTGCTACACACTTTGAAGAGATGAACTCTTAATTTCTCACCTCAAACGTGTGTGGTATTAAAAGGAATTCACATTGCTCAGTTCTCTTCTTCCCTCATGGGAGTTCACACACTGAAATCTACTTCAACTAAATAATTGGACAGCTAAAATTATAATAATTTATATATCAAAGTTCAGTCTTTTCTAAAAGTAAAAATAGCCACTACTCATGAAATTATAACTACAAAATCAAACTGGCTAAAATACAAAACTTAAAAGATAAAAGATTAGAAACCATTTCAAATATAATAAACACCAAATAAAGTATTTCATAGAGTACAATTAACTGCATATACAGGGGAAATATATAATTGATCTAAATAAAATGTAACTTTGGTTAGTTTACATTTCTTTTTATCTCATCTGCCTTTACTTTGTGGGGCCATACTGTGTCTTGGTTTTAACTTTGAGTATGATACTCCTATTATATGTCACATGTACATACTATGTTAGATACAGAAGATGAAAACAAAGAAGAGAAGAAATAATCAGAATCACCAGGGCTACATTATGTGGTATAACTCAGGAATTTCTCCCGTAATGCCTTAATTCACTTTCTCTCTCTCTCTCTCTCTCTCTCTCTCTCTCTCTCTCTCTCTCTCTCTCTCTCTCTCTCTCTCTCTCTCTCTCTCTCTCTCTCTCTCTCTCTCTCTCTCTCTCTCTCTCTCTCTCTCTCTCTCTCTCTCTCTCTCTCTCTCTCTCTCTCTCTCTCTCTCTCTCTCTCTCTCTCTCTCTCTCTCTCTCTCTCTCTCTCTCTCTCTCTCTCTCCAAAACCTACATCTGACTGACTTACAAGTCTGCAATTGTGGAGAGCTTGGAAGTTGCACATTGTGGGCTGTCTTCAGCTTCCTGATCAGTCATGTATTGTCCATCTGTTTGAGTGAACATCCCTGACTATTAGATGAGATCATTTTCAAAAGGTAACAGTGGACTCCAACCCAAAGGCTAAGTATGTTAGCAGATTGCATCTTGATCTACAACAGATACCAAATGGGTGGGGGTGTCCCTGACTCTTATACCTGCTCTTATGACCCTTTTCCTCCTAGTGAGTTGCCTTGTCCAGCCTTAATATGAGAGTTTGTGCCTAGTCAAATTGTGCCTAGGCCTGTTCTTTTCTGAAGGGAGGGAGGGGAGCAGTGGATCTGGAGGAGAGGAGAGACTGAGGGGGAGAACTGGGAGGAGGGGAGGCTGCAGTTGGGATGTGTTGCATGAGAAGAGAATAAATAAAAACACCTTAATTTAAGACTTTCTCTTTTCTTTTACTATAAAAAGTCCACAAAATTGTGACCATGTTGGTATTTTGGGCCATGGCTACTTACATTTGGCTTCCGAATAAACTATTATTCCCTTTGAGGTGATTGCTCACTTTTTGTGTCAATGTCAAAATTTCATATTTCACAAGACTAAAAGAGCTGCCTCTGCTGCTGTTTTCTTCTTCTCCTCCTCTCCCTCCTTCCTTTTCTCCTCGTCCTCCTCTCCCTCCTGTGTTTCTTCTCTTCCTCAAATTCAACAGTGTTTCCCTATGTAGCCCAGACAGCCTTTGGCCTTGAATTTGAGATTGACTTTCCTATGCTCCCCAAGTGCTGGAATTATACACCCTACTACAACCAACTCAAAATTTGATTTCCCCTGCTGTAGACCCCCCTGCTATAGTCATGTGGATAAAACCTAGGGCCTTACATATGCTAGGCAAAGTATTCTACCACTAAGCTATAGCCTCTAACCCTCAGACTTTTTTTCATTAATTTGTTTTTTGCATTCCAATCCCAGTTCCACCTCCCTCCTCTCCTTCTGCTTCCCCCATTGCCCCCAACCCATCTCCCATCTGCTCCTCGGAGAGCCTCCCCCCTAGAAAGTCTGCTAAATCTGTCCCATCATCTTGTTGAGGCAGGGTCAAGGCACATCTCCACCCCCACACCCCTGTGTCTAGGCTGGGCAAGGTATCTCTCAGTATAGAATGGTTTCCACTGAGTCAGTTTGTGCATTAGTGTTAGGTCTTGGACTCACTTCCAGTGTCCTCATACATTGTCCCAGTCACACCATTGTTACCTATATAAGGGAGTCTAGTTTGGTCTTATGCAAGTTTCCTATTTGTCAGACCTGTGTCAGTGATCTCTCACTAGCTCAGGCCAGTTGATTCCATGGGTTTCATGGTCTTGACTCCTTTGTTCATATTATCACTCCTCCCCCATTTAGATTGTACTCCAGAAGGTTGGCCCAATGGTTAATTATGGATTTCTGCATCTGCTTCCATCTGTTTTTGGGAGAGGGTTCTAGCTTCTCTGGAGTTTGTGGCTTGTAGGCTGGGTATCTTTTGCTTTATGCCCTCAGACATTTTTAGCACTGAGATGTCGTACCTTAAATTGCTGAGCTCTTGTTCCTGCTTTATTTTTTCATGTTCTGCTTCTGAGAGCTTCTTATGTAGTCCAGTCACTTCATTTTCCATAGTTCCAAGTTTTCCTGCAAGTGCTTTGCAGTGACTATCTTTAAGTTGTATTAGCCTTTTATATGAATGAATTGTATCTCGGATTTTCAGTAGGCTACCAGGATCTGAATCATGGGGAAACCAATATGGAAATATAGATGAGTATGTTTTGTATATGAAAGACTGTATGCTGTCACATTCACTCATTCTTACGCTGAACAAGGGTAGAAAGCATATAAAGGGGCATGAAGGAGTTGAATGAGAAGAGTCACTTTTGCGCCCACTTAAGACAATAGGATAACTATGTCTAACATTGAGTATTTCAAAATAGCCAGTAGAGAGAATTTTTGGTGTTCTGACAGCAAAGAAGTGACAAATGCTTGAGGTTATAGATATAGAAAAGCAATGTTTTCATAATTATACATTGTGCATGTGTATTAAAATGCTGCACTGAGCCCCATAAATATGAGTGAAGATACTCTCCTATGTGTTAGTTAAAATAAAATGCTATTTTACAAAGTGAATATTATTTTATTATATCTAAAATACAGATAAAACTGATAAAAATATAGAAATATTCATACATGAACACACATATATTAAACAGTGATGATAGATAGATAGATAGATAGATAGATAGATAGATAGATAGACAGACAGACAGACAGGATCAAGAACAACAGGATATCCATGCCACAAAATGAACTTGGTATGAAAATAAACTCAAAATGGACTTCAAACTTCTAGAAAAAGTCTGACCTAGATGATTTATTAGATATGACCCCAAATCAAAACCCATAACTTAACAAAACACAAATTGGATTTTATAAAAATCTTAATTCTTGCTCTTTCAAAATATCTTACTAAGTTTAAGGATGTAGTTCAATGTTAGGGTTGTGAAGTAGACCATGGTCTCAAGTTTAGCAGGGAAACAATCCCAAAGCATTCCAAGGTTTCCAGATGGAGACAAAGATAACCTGACTCAATCATAGTAATCACTCAGGAGAATGTGGCTTTAAAAACACAGGCAGACCGAACACACTGAGGAAAATACAGTAGGAATAATAAAATGTCTGGCTGACTGTGTATGATTCCCATCCTCCTTAAACTATATAGCATGCCTCTGCCACGCATTAAGATACAGCAGTGCTCTGGGGTGCAGTGCTGAGCAATGTATACAGCTGTTGCTCTTCTGCACATGTTGGGCTTACCTTTGCATTCCAGGCTAAGATGTTCAATTAGCTTTAGTGTAGCTTCATAATTAGAGCAAGGAAACTTGCCATACTCTGAGGATGTTTCAGATGACTGAGTTAGGTCATCAAAATCTTCCATAGCAGGTGGGTTTTCCTTTTGACCTTTAAAATAAGTCATACCAATTCAATGCAATATATCCACCCCATAGTATCAGTACAGAAGAGGCAAATGTCCATCCTTTTATGTAATTAGAAACACAGGGATTTCTGAAAAGAATTGATGTTTTGGCAGAATGAAATTACCCATGAGACAGTGTTTCTTGATCTCATTTTAAAAGTTAAATGACTTCACATAACAACATTCTCTCTTTTCAGAAAATGTGATACATTTACACAATGGAGTACTATTCAGCAGAAAAAAACAATGAAATCTTGAAATTTTCAGGCAAATGGATGGCACTAGAAGAAACCATCCTGAGTGAGGTTTGCCCAGTCACAAAAAGAGAAACATGGTATATACTCACTCATATATAGATTTTAGACATGAATCAGGGGAGTGCCAGCCTACAATCCCACTTCCAGAGAGTCTGGGAAATAGAACCTTTATCTAGTGACTGATGAAATCAGAGGCAGACATCCACAGCTAAACACTGAACTAAACTCCTGGAACCCAGTGACAGAAAGGGAGGACTGGTAAGCAAAGGAGTCAAGACTGGGCTGGTTTAACCCACAGAGACAGATGACCTGAACAAGGGGAGCTCTTGGACCCCAGATTGATGGCTGGGAGGACAGCATGGGACTGATCCAGAACCCCCTGAATGTGGGTGTCAGTGAGAAGGCCTAGGCAATCTATGGGGCCTTGGGTAGTATTCATCCCTGGCATACAAATGGACTTTAGGTGCCCTTGCCACAATGAAGGATGCTCTCTCAGCCTGGACTCTTGTGGGAGGGGCTAGGCCCTGCCCTGGATGAAATGACAGAATCTGGAGATCTCCCATGGAGGGCCTCACCCTCTCTCCCTAGGCATAGGGGTGGGGATTGGGAGAGGGGCTGGGTGACCTGGTGGGGAGGACAGGGAGGAGAAGAGGGAGCTGGGATTGACATGTTTCTAATTTAAATTAAAAAATGAAAAAATTCTCTCTTTTCACTTTATCTTTTATAATTTATCTTTTAATATTACTATATTAGTGTATATTAGCAGTACAAAATTAAGGGGTTAATCATCACATTTCTATAATGCATATATACATACATATATATGTAGTTATCATATTCATCTACTCTATAATCTTTTATTCTTCGTTTTCTTCTTTCCCTTCACATCCCTGGAAGCTTCCCTTTATTTGATACATGACTTCGCACTTTATAAAGTATTTTAAAGAAATATTTCTTTTGTTACAGCAGCTTACACTGTTTTCTTCAGTGTTGCTCTTTTGGATTCTCAAAGTGTAAACTCATTTTAAGACAAATAGTAAATCTGTAAAACACAGAAGCGGGTCTGTACCTGTATCACTTTATATAAAGTCACATTTTTATTTATCTTGTTCATAAAGTTTACAAACCATTTAAAAGTAATTCCATAAATGGATAACTTCTTTATTTTCCCTGCTGATAATATTTACAAACTATTGAAAGACGATGCAAGGGTGATATGCCCGTAATGGAAAGAGCAACATTGAGGGACAAGGGCCAGTATTACTAATAATATAACAAATTTAGATCAAACTTACAGTCTAAGCAAGAGGAAAACAATGTTACCTTCACTATTAAATAGACATAAATCAGGTGCTTTGTTGTTATTGTCATTTTTAATAAAGTAAGCTTTTATGATTATTAAACTCAATTTGGAGAATAGTACTTGAGTCTTATGTGGAGGAACGTTTTTAAACTGATTTTTGGCTTTCTCAGGACCTGCTCTGCAATTGTTATGCATTATCCTAAGCAGGGGGCATGTGTTGAATTCATTTCACTCCTCAAAGAATTGTGAGGTAGATAACACGAGTTACATCATGAAGAACTAAATTAGAAAAATTCCTGGGGTCCTGGGCTAGCAAAATGGCTTAGCAGGTAAATGCACTCACTAGCTGCCAAACCTGAGGACCTGAATTCAATCCCCAGGACCTCTGCACATGTGGTATGTAGTAAGCTCATGTCCCGCCCTCCCCTCACCCACCAATCAGTGAATAAAAAAGTTAAAAAGAGAAAGCCCGGATTAATTACTCAAGTTATTCTGCTGATCAGTGGCTAAATGAGAATTTCAACCCAGGGATTCTGACTCCACATCGTAGTGTTTCATAATATGCTGTGGATGTAGTAGCTCCAACTGTTTTTAAAGGCAGAGAAATCCGTATTATCATTCCATTTCTTGCTAAAATTGATAATTTTGAATCTTTCAAACATTTGTGTGTGCGTGTACACATGTATGTGGTATATACACATACATGAGCACATGCGAAGGCCAGAGGTCAGACTGATGTTTTTATATATTGTTCCCCTCCTTAATTACTTAAAAATACTTATTTTGTATTCATGTTTCCCCTGATGTAGTGTAGGCGTCGCATGTGTGCTTGGTGCCTGCAGAGGCAGAAGAAGGTGTCAGATTCTCTGGAAGTGGAGTTAAGGATGATTGTGAGCCACCGTGTCAGTCAATGCTGAGAACGCAGCGTGTGAATCCTGGGAGAGCAACAAGTGCCGTTAGCCACCACACCTTCTCTCCAGCTCTCTATTTTTTAATTTTCCTGTAGTGTGAATGCCTGGATGTAGGTCTTTGTACCACGTGCATGCTTAGTGGCCGGGAGATGATAAGAGAGCATTGGAACTGCAACTCCGCTGAAACTGGAGTTACAGGCAGTTGTGAACCAACAAGTGGATGCTGGGAACCAACCCCAGTTCTCTGCAGCAACAGCACAGAGCACTCCTAACTGCTGATCCCGCTGAACCCTCTACCTTATTTTTAAAGGCGCTGTCTCTTGAACCTTGAGTGCACCGTGGCTAGACTTAGTAGCCTTTGAGTCTAAGATCCTCCTGCCCAAGCCTTCTAGTGCTGGGACGCCAATAGCATCACCATGCCTGGCGTTTTTATACGAGTTCTGGGGACCCAAGCTCGGGTCTTTATGTTTGACGAACAAACACTTTGCTCACTGAGTAGTATCTTATTTTAAAAATAAAATAACAATAAACATAGGCAATTTGTGGAAGCTCACTTTCTCCCTCACCCCAAAGAAATTCCATGGTATGTTTTTAGCTGTTTACTCACACACTTACGAACACTCATCGTACAATCCAAGTTAGGGACACCGTTGGTCCTTTGGGTCTTAAGGGTGGCCGAACTTTACTTTTTGTTACGTATAAACAAAATCCCCCCTTTCCCTGGAGTCTGAACATCTGGATTTTAGAGTCACTTACAAAATCACAACTTTGAATTCATTTCAAAACCATATAGGAGCCCATAGTTCTCATCTCCTCACCGAAAACACAAGAGCTCACAGTGGCCTCTAGCCTTGTTCTCTTTCCAGGAGGGTTCAACGGTCTGGTCCGTGATGGCTGGGGGGAGGGGAACTGGAGAGGTGGGGCATATGGCTGGTTGCAGAGGCTTCTGGAGTCCAGGGCAAAGTTTTTCCGGTGGTCCTTGGTAGTTGCTACATCCTGTGTTGCAAGAAGATTAAATACAGGAAGTTTGTAAAAATTCTTCAGTACTTTTTCGTTAAAACTCTCTTCATGGGGCTATTGTTTCTGTATTTACTTGAGTTCTGTGTGTGAATTTGTTAGATTCTTGACTTTTTAGCGCCTAGTGGTATGAGTGTTCTTTGCTAGTTTCTTAATGTGATTCTTAACAAATACAAACCAATTGAAACAACTCTATTCATTGACAGATTATAATGGAATAAATCTAGAAATTAATAACAAGGTTATCTACAGAAACTTGAAAAATGAGAACTGGAACAATAAATATTCAAAATAAATAGTAGGTCTTCAAGAAAGTAGGGAAGAAACTTTAAAAATTCTAGAGTTAAATTTAATGAAAACAGAAGCTGATGCAGAAAAGTAAGTTCTAGGGGAAAAAGCTCATAGCTGTGATTGCCCATATTGGAAAAAAGTCAAAGGTCACTTTCTTGTGTGTCTTATGTGTTTGGTGTTTTGGACACTTGTTTCTTGAGTTCCTTATGTATTTTAGAAATTAGCCATCTGTCAGATGTGGGGTTGGAAAAGAACTTTTCCCATTCTGTCAGCTGCCATTTTTTCTTGCTGACTGTGTCCTTTGCCTTACAGAAGCTTCTCAGTTTCAGGAGGTCCCATTTATTGTCAATCTCAATGTCTGTGCTACTGGTGTTATGTACAGGAAGTGGTCTTCTGTACCAATTGGTTCAAGGGTGCCTCCCACTTTCTCTTCTAAGAGGTTCAGTGTGGCAGGATTTATGTTGAGGTCTTTGATCCATTTGGATTTAAGTTTTGTGCATGGTGATAGATATGGATCTATCTGCAGTCTTCTACATGTCAGTCTCCAGTTATGCCAGCAACATTTGCTGAAAATGCTTTCTTTTTTCCATTGTATAACTTTAGCTTATTTGTCAAAAATCAGGTGTTTGTATGTGTGTGGGTTAACAGCAAGGTTTTCAATTTGGTTCCATTGACCTACCTGTCTATTTTTGTACCAATATCAAGCTGTTTATAGGACTATGGCTCTATAATAGAAGTCAGGGATGGTGATGCCTCCAGAAGTTCCTTTATTGTACAGGGTTGTTGTAGCTATCCTGCTCTTTTTGTTTTTCCATATAAAGTTGAGTATAGATCTTTCAAGATCTGTGAAGAACTGTGTTGGGATTGTAATGGGGATTGCATTGAATCTGTAGATTGCTTTTGGCAAGTTTGCCATTTTTGCTGTGTTGATCCTACCTATCCAAAAGCATGGGAGATTTTTCCATGTTCTGGTCTCTTCTGTATTTTCTTTCTTTAAGGACTCAAAGTTGTTACTGTACAGGTCTTTCACTTGTTTGGTTAGCATTACTCCAAGATATTTTATGCTCCTTGTGGCTATTGTAAAGGGTGATGTCACTCTGATTTCTTTCTCAGCCCATTTATCATCTGTATATAGTAGGGCTACTGATTTTTTGAGTTAATTTTGTATCTTAACACTTTGCTGAAGGTATTTATCA